ATTGACTGTAAAATTTATCAATGATATTTTATATAAAATAATCGATATAATAAAGTTAAATAAAATTCATTAATTTAACTACAGTAAACTAATTTTATTTTATTTACTTCAAATACTTCTGTAATGGCATCTTGACTTGTGGGAGAGTAATACCTAAATTTATTATTTTTTAACCTAGGCCATTCTGTTCGGCTATTTAACATCTCTTAAATACTTGTGATACTTTTTTTCAACTCGGATTCTAATTTACTTGATCCTTGAGCTTTTTTACGTATGTCGCCCAATGTATTTACCATCCCAAATAAAGTTTCAGATTCAATACTCATCGAGTCACATTTTAATGCTACACCCTGAAGGCCCAAATTCAAAGTACTCATAACTCGTTCTGCAGGATTTGTCTAGCTATGATTGGGTGCTGTATGAACTGCAGCAAGTAAATCAAAATCTCTACAAAGAAAAGGCTAATTAGTGCAATTTGTACAGAACCATAATTACAATGATGATCTGGACCACCATCGGTATAAAGACACAAAATTGGTGGCACTTCTTGATATGCATACTGAATGTCTAGTATATTTAAAAATTCTGTTACATGTCTAATAGCGGTACTAGGTTCAAAAATTGTATCTTTATATGATACAAACACCTGACTCTCGTAAAATAACCCTGAAATTTCATTGGGGATAGATATAAAAAAAATCACCGATGGTGTTAAAGATAGTTTTGCGAAATCATGATCGGCAGCAGCCAAATTGCTCTCTTGTGCAACCATAAAATGTCGATTTCGTACACTAGTAGAAACTGCAACATCTTCACCTATAGGAATTTTGTACTTATCATCAGCAGAAATCAAACAGGCCCATTGACGGTACTGGATACAGAATTCTCTAAGATAGCGGAAAAGTGCAGCACAATAATGTGCATCTTCACTGTTTTTTTGAAGTATCCAAGCTTGTACTTTAAATTTTACATTAAATCAGCCAGTATAATACATAGCCCTCATTGTAGTAATATTTGTGAGACAAAATTGAAGACGAATCCATTCATCTGATAGAATATTAATATCAGAAGATAAAGGGTTACCATAAATAGTCTTTAATCTTTCCACTATAGTTTTACGAAGATTATAAATTAACAAGGCCAATGGTATATATAGAATAGCCCCATGCCACCGCTCATTTACTGCAAGTAAATTCTATATTAAAATAGGTTAAATATAATAATAATAATAATAATAATAAT